GAGCCTCATTTTTTTCTCCTATTATGTGTTTATTCTTCGGGAAAAGAAAAACAACTGTTTAAATTACGTCCACCTAATACCTTAGATTTATTGCAAAGCCTACAGTTTGCTGGGTTTCTTTTACTATTGATCCTCCTCTTACTTATGGAGGATGTGAACATCATAACCAGAGATAAAGCTCATACTGATTCAAAACTGAAATGGTGCAATAATGGATGCCTAAGGTAGTGTTTCAAGACTGCTACAAAAATTAGACCCTTTCATCGACTTACGTTAGGCAGCAGAATAATCTCAAGTGGCAATGACAGCTATAAAATCCCACACCCTACATGGCTTAGATTTATAGTAGAATACTCATAACTGCAAGCAGTTACCATGAGACAATGGTCTTTCTTTACCCTTATACTGCATGTGCTTTCATGGTGCTTTCCTCCACTGTGGATTTGTCTTGCCCACGCAAGTATTTGAGCCGCATGACAGTGTCATTTTAGATGCCACTATCATGGCAAGGTACTGAAGGTAACCACACAACATCTCAATGACATATTGTTTTTGCCTCCCCAGAATATATAGCCCTGCAATAAAAAGCAAATGGAAATCTGGAATTCACTTTTAGGTTTCCAATTTGTTGCCTCCTTTTGGCATACAACAGACTACATTCAAAATTTGGGAAGAAAACACAGAGTTTAACTGCATGTATTATGTTCTACCAATCATTTTTATGGCATGCTTATTTTTTATTTATTTATTTTTTTGAGACAGAGTCCCGCTCTGTCGCCCAGGCTGGAGTGCAGTGGCGAGATCTCCACTCACTGCAAGCTCCGCATCCCGGGTTCACACCATTCTCCTGCCTCAGCCTCCCGGGTAGCTGGAACTACAGGCGCCTGCCACCACGCGCGGCTAATTTTTTGTTTTTTTAGTAGAGATGGGGTTTCACTGTGTTAGCCAGGATGGTCTCGATCTCCTGACTTCGTGATCCGCCCACCTCGGCTTCCCAAAGTGCTGGGATTACAGGCATGAGCCACCACGCCCGGCCAAATGTATTTTTTCATTGCTTTATTAATTAGCACCTATATCCAGTATAACATCACAGAAAACCTTATATGCACAAAGTCATACTATTGTTTAGGGAAGAAACAATTACACTCTTTTAAGAAAGTATAAGAGTCTGGAAGACCATCTTATTGTTTGACTTTGGACAAATTAGCAGCTGTGCCACCATTTTCTCATCAATCTACTGAAAATAATAATACCTATCTTACGTACGTGTGAGAATCAAATCAAATAATACATACAAAGTACTTATCCTAATGCCTGGAATATATTAAAGCTTTTAGAATAAGCAAAATTTTTACTTTTGTCCCAAAACATATACAATGTATTTCAAACCTATGCTGTGTCGTGTTTCATGTTTCCTACAGCCTCCACACTGTTCCCTGCCCCTTTATGCACTTACTGAAAAGGCTCCTTTTGCAACTTCTCATTCCATGTGTTTTATCCACTGGAAATAATTCAGAGACCAACCATTGAGACCAACCTGCAAATATATTAACAGAAAACATGTATAGCATGTGGTTACCTCTTTGGGGATATGAATAGACAAACAGAAAATGTCAGAGTGTCATGTTTTAGAAGAAATATAAATCTTCATGTACTGCAGGACACAATTTTGCTAACATGGAAAAGGAAAGACGACAATTTTGACAAAATTAAACTTAACCCTATGGGATATGGTTATCCCCACGTTACCTGCTTTTAACATTATATAGGACTGTACTCATATTCAGGTCAAACTACAGATAGCCAAATGTCATTTAGTGGCATTAGAGGGTGAATGGAGCTGGCAGGCAGGAATGCCCAGGACACTTTCTAGAACACAGATGCAGGACCTATACCTACTATTCAATGTTGTCTTGTCATTGTATTAAAATACACACATCGAGACAGCCCAGAATGTTCACTGGTTAAGTGAGGCCCTAAAATTTGAAAGGATCTGTATAACTGAGAGGAAGAAAAATGAGTCAGTCATAGGGACTCTATAACTCTGATTTTGAATAGTGAATAAAAATCTAGCATAACTATTATACAATGTTGTTCAGCGCATTGTTCGACATCATTGTCAGTTTACTCTTATTTTCTTATTTCCATAATAATATTATACACATATATGTACTGTATAAATAATGAAGATAGAAGCTTCAGTGTTTCATGTTAAAATGCTAACTGAGATGTAGAAAAGAACCATGTAATTAATCCGTGCACCACTAAGACAAATTCCATCACAGACAACATCATTCAACAAGCCATGTCATTACTGAAGCAAAGGTTAAATTGCTCTTTTTAAAAAACATAAAGCCAGTCTTTAATGAGCTTTATAAAAATGAAAGAACTGACCGATCTTGCTCACTCTCATCCTGAAGAAAAAGTGGTCAATCTACCAACATATCAAGCTTTCTATATAGTTGGTTGTTCTTATCTATAATAGTTAAGAAGCTACAAATGACAATACATTTTAGCATTATATGGCACACTTCATTTCATAAGGACACTTCAATTTCTCTTCATTTCTGGAGGAAAATTAATTTTGTAACTGAACATTCCAGGCCCGAGTTGCTTGAAAGGAGTCAGTGACACACCAACGTTTAAGGAAATCCCGAGCTCCGGTGTCAGAGAGCATCCCAAAAAGGATGATGCATCACTCTGCAACTGCCATCTGTTGAGTGTTTTCCCGACAGCTGTATCTCTTGACCATCACCAGTGCAGATAATCACAGGAGGCACGAAGGAAGTGCACAGCCGTCAGACACAGAGGAAAATTCCATGTTCGTCTGTGAAACAACATTGCTTTTAATTGTACCATAATGATTTTCTAACAGACACAATGGTATGTAGTGTAGTCTTAGAGCTGATTTAAAGCACACAATAAACCACAGTGCAGCTGAAAAGCCAATTGAGACTTCTTAGTGCCAGGAAGGTTTTTGTCTTACGTGAATACTTAAGAGCATTTCGCCAGCTACTCTGTCCACAATCCGCTTTTACCAAAAATAACTGCCTCTATCATTGTGCCTGGGCAGTTTTTAAAAGAAAATGAACATTTTTATTTCAAATATCAATGAGGTTAAGTCTTCGCTTTATTTTTAATCTTCATGATAGACAATCCTAAAATAAGACCACTTCATCGGGTGGGTGATGGTCCAAAGTCTCACTCTCCTAACTTTTTTAAAACCACTTAATGTTTTTATTCTTACCCTTCAGTGTAAAAGTCTGCCCAGCTACTATACGACTTTACCTCTTTCAAAACATTCTCTGACATAGCAGTTGCAAGGGTATTGAGATGGTGGAATTGGCTGGTCAGACATTGAAATCCTTGGTTTCTTCACAGGAGCAACTAATAACACTAGTAGCTACCATTATTTGAAGACCCGCTATGGAGCAGTCCTCTTCTCAGTACTTTATAAGCTTCAACTTAAAAGATTCCAGTCAAAATGTCACCTTGTGTGAAAGTCTAATACTCTGTTTCTGGGAATTCAGTTGTCAGAATATGATGGATTCATCAGCAGAGTCTTCTAAATCCCCTAGCTCCATTCCATTCTGGAGCATAAAAGAATGAGAGGGAGACAGAGAGAGAATAAAAGAAAGAAATTTCAAAAGATCTATATTTTCCTCCTTTTCATTTATTTTAATCATTATCATTATAATAATATATGTTGACCCTATCACATATATACACACAACACAATCACATACCCATGCATGTGTACACACACAGGCACTTACGTACTCTAAACTCTCATTTTCTTCATTTACTACCAGTTTGCACTTATTTGTGTACCGTCTTGTAGCTAACAGTTACTACTACTCCGAAGTGTGGCTGCGCAAGAACAGATATTAGAACCAATTTTAAAAATATCTGTGCTAAACATGCATTAGGTACACTTGGGCTCATACTTACTTTTCAGGGGAAAAAACTATGTACCAAAACGAACCCCACATGCCTATGCCTGGCCCATGGCGAGCTTCACAGCTGAAACTCCTATAACAAAAGACACAAATGTTTTTCTCCTACTAATCTGAATTCAGAAAGCAAGGGACAAGGAAAAAATTTACCATCCATTCTCCACCAGGCCTTATAGGCAGAGATCTGGGAGAACTGATCTTGGTTAAAAAAAATAAATTCTTACCTTTTTGCCGGCTTTTGTCAATTGCTTCAAGATCTCAACTGTGGGCTTTAGAGCAAGTGGCAGGGGGTGTGGATCTGAGTCACCCCATGTTGGGTACCAAAAACTATAGGGGAAAAAAAATAATACATTTACCTCATCCATTGCAAGATTCTTGGCTGATAACCATATAACAAAAGACAACTTAACAAAAGAAAACACAAACTTATTTATGCATTTATTTATTTATTTATTTATTTATTTATTTATTTAAGACAGAGTCTTGCCCTATTGCCCAGGATGAACTGCACAGGTGCAAATCATAGCTCACTGCAGCTTTGAACTTCTGGGCTCAGGTCATTCTCCCACCTCAGCCTCCCAAGTAGCTGGGACTACAGGCATGCACCACCACACCCAGCCAACAAATTTATTTGACCAAAGTTTCATGTGGCAGAAAGGCTTCAGAAATGAAGACTCAAAGACCCAAGGAAAACTGTGTATTTCTATGGACAGGTTTGATGAAGAATAGACAGTCATGTAGAAGTATGGTTGGACAAAAGGGAGGTTTGACCTAATGATAAACTGGGCAGAGCTTAGCAAAGGGAGTTTGCTTAGATTCTTCTTGGCCTCCAGGTATAGGGCAGGACACCTATCATGTGAGGGTCTTATGACCTACTTACAGGGGAGGTAGGTCACACAACTTCCCTATAACCATGTTTCGGGGAGAAAGGACAGAGAAAGTTAGAGAGGCCCTTCTTTCTTCTATGGTTTTCTCAATTTCCTTCAGGTTAAAATATTCAGCAGATAGTGAATTCAAGTTGGAAGAGGTGAGTCCGGTCTCAAAATGGAGGTAAAACTGCTGCCTGGTGGCCCCAAGCCCAATTCTGGCTGTGGCTATCACCGCCGGGGGAAGGGGGTCATGATCCAAAGGAAACAGAGTAGTTAAGAAACTGTTTATTGGTGGTCTGAGCTTTGAAACGACAGATGATAGCTTAAGAGAACATTTGGAAAAATGGGGCCCACTCACAGATTGTGTGGTAATGAGATACCCCCAAACAAAAAGTTCCAGGGGGTTTGGTTTTATGACTCACTCTTGTGTTGAAGAGGTGGATGCAGCAACATGTACTCAACCACACAGGTTGGTAGGCATCTATTGGAACTAAAGAAAACTGTTTCTAGAGAGGATTCTATAAAGCCTGATGCTCATCTGAGAGTGAAGAAAAATTTTGTTGGTGGTATTAAAGAAGATACAGAAGAATATAATTTGAGAGACTACTTTGAAAAGTATGGCAAGATTGAAGCCATAGAAGTTATGGAAGACAGGCAGAGTGGAATAAAGAGAGGATTTGCTTTTGCAACTTTTGATGATCATGATACAGTTGATAACATTGTTGTTCAGGAATGCCACACTATTAATGGGCATAATTGTGAAGTGAAAAGGCCCTTTCTGAACAAGAGATGCAGTCTGCTGGATCACAGAGAGGTTGTGGAGGTGGATCTAGCAATTTTGTGGGTTACAGAGGAAACTTTGGAGGTGGTGGAGGTAATTTTGGCCGTGGTGGCAACTTTGGTGGAAGAGGAGGCTATGGTGGTGGAGGTGGTGGCAGCAGAGGTAGTTATGGAGGAGGTGATGTTGGATATAATGGATATGGAGGTGATAGTGACAACTCTGGCAGTGGTCCTGGTTATAGTAGTAGAGGGGGCTATGGTGGTGATGGACCAGGATATGGCCCAAGGTGGTGGATACGGTGGTGGTGGTGGAGGATATGATGGTTACAATGAAGGAGGAAATTTGGCGGTGGTAACTATGGTGGTGGTGGGAACTATAATGATTTTGGAAATCATAGTGGATAACAGTAATCAAATTATGCACCCACGTAAGGGGGTAGTTTTTGTGGAAGAAGCTCAGTCATCCCTATGTTGGTGGTTATGGATCTGGTGATGGACATGGTGGATATGGGAGAAGTTTCTAAAAACAGCAGAAAAGGGCTGCAGTTCTTAGCAGGAGAGAGAGGGAGGAGTTGTCAGGAAAGCTGGAGTTTACTTCGAGACAGTCATCCCGAATGCATTAAAGGAACTTTAAAAATCTGTCACAGTGGAAACAATGATCCACAGTCAGAAAAGTTACCGCAGCTTAAACAGGAAACCTTCTCGTTCAGGACTGTCATAGCCACAGTTTGCAAAATGTTCAGCTATTGGCTGGGCATAGTGGCTCACGCCTGCAATCCCAGTACTTTGGGAGGCCGAAGTGGGCAGATCATGAGGTCAAGAGATCGAGACCATCCTGGCTAACACAGTGAAACCCCGTCTCTACTAAAAATATAAAAAATTAGCCTGGTGTGGTGGTGGGCGCCTGTAGTCCCAGCTACTCAGGAGGCTGAGCCAGGAGAGTGCTCTGAACCTGGGAGACGGAGGTTGCAGTGAGCCAAGATCATGCCACTGCACTCCAGTCTGGGTGACAGAGTGAGACTCTGTCTCAAAAAAAAAAAAAGAAAGAAAAAAAAAGTTCAGCTATTGATTCATGCAATGTAGTGTCAATTAGATGAACATTCCTGAGGTCTTTATCTGTGGTAGCTTTTTCTTCTTATTTTTCTTTTCATTTCATCAGGTACATTGCCCTGTAAATTGTGGTAGTGGTATCAGGAATAAAAAGTTAAGGAATTTTTAGCTTTTCAATATTTGTGTAGTTCAGTTTTTCTACATTTTAGTACAGAGACTTTAACAAATGCAGTTTTGAAGGTGATTCCTTGTGAGTTAACAAGAAGATCATTGTTAATTACTGTTTTGCATGAATTTTGCTAAAGTTAACTATAAAGAAACACAACTGACTTGCAGTTTAAGGGGAATCTAGTATCCCCATTTCCAAACTATAACATGAATGGGTGCTGACATGTGGACAGAATAGATATTTATGTGTTTGCAATGTGTGTTTTAGATAAATAGGATTGGGTATTTAAATTAGCATTTGTGAATTTAATAGCATTAAGATTACCTTCAAATAAAAAAAATCTCAAAATTAAAAAAGAATACCTCAGTATGCCAAGATGCTATATTTTAGGATATCATGTTGTAGGTGCAAAAGGCACTTTCCTTCCACTCCCTGAAGGTTCAAGAATTTGAGCCTGTAAGACAGACTGACAATAGACAGATTAACAGGAGAAAAGGTGTACACATCTATTAACATGCAGACACATGGGAGTCATACCAAGTATGAAGCTCAAACAAGGGCCAGATGATTAAAGCTTAAAGGCCCCCATTCATAAGAGAGAGGGGAGTGGGGGATGCAGGCAATTTTAGAGGATGAGTAAAGGATTTTTAGGGGAGATGAATGGACCTGAGGAACAGACCATAGCCTGAGGCAAAGTTTATCTGGACTCTGGGAGAGTGGTGTCAATGTTAGTCTTTTCTGCAAGTTATTCTGCTCTGCTTGGTGAGATTATAAGGAGGGGGCTCAAGACAACTGTGTTTCTTCTAGTGGAACTTCACTTGGTCAAATGAGGGAACTTCACATAAAGCACCTCTCCGTGCTTCAGGACAGGGAAAGGAGAGAGACAGGGAGAGTAGGAGGTCAGAGGGAGAGACCTTGTTTCCGAGGCTGCTGCTTTATTTCAAGGTACTCAGCATGTGAAAGCACCATATTTTAAGGTGTTGTTTTCTGAGCCGCCACGATGTTCTGAGCCCTGACGCCTAGAAGTAGTACTTTTTCAGGAAGAAGTCTGAACCACCTATTCACATTCCCATATGGCATAAGAAATTTGAAATTCTCACTTTTGAAACCTACTATCTGTATTTGTGAACTATCCATGAGGCATTTCAGAAGCAGCTTTTTTTTCACAATGACCCACTCTTGTTAGTAGTAAGGTTTGTTTGTGAACTTGACTTCCTAGTTTTACCACTTCCTGGTTAATAATTATGAGAGATAACAGTTCTTTGTGCAGTTACCTAGAGGCTACTGTTACCTTTTTTTTAAACTTAAATATCCAACAGATACTTGTACTCAAGGGTAGGTGAACATTCTCACACATGATTCCTGCAGTGTAAAAGAGCCACAGGCTAAGAAACAATGCCTAATCTCTAATTAGGTAATTTGAGCGGGGAGGAGGGTCTATATTCCTAAACAGCCTGCCTGTGTTTTAATAATATTTCTTACTCCTAAATCAGGCAGGCACGATTCAGCCCACTAGCCATTGGTTGCCTGTCCTAAGAAACATGAGTCTCCTGATATTTGAAACTGGTTGCCGTAAAGAATGCTCAAATCAAATGCCTGCTTCCTTCAGTTCTGCCCTGAAGGAATGCTGCTAGGGGTTCTTCAATCTCTTTCTTAAAACAATGGTTTCCATACACCAAACAGTGCAGTCTCTGTGGACATTTCCTCTTGTCCACAATAAAAGAAGAAAAATAAACAGTCTGAAATGATACACATATATAAATGGAACAAGTCTGTAGTGAGAGCCTCCCATATGCCAGGCAACATTTTGGGTCATGGAAGAAAAGAGGTGAACAAAAGATGGGAAACCCATGACCTCATGAGCTTTATATTGTTGGTTTTTTGTTTTTGTTTTTGTTTTTTGTTGTTATTGTTGTTGTTTTGAGATGGAGTTTCGCTGTTGTCACGCAGGCTGGAGTGCAATGGCACGATCTCGGCTCACTGCAACCTCTGCCTCCTGGGTTCAAGCGATTCTCCTGCCTCAGCCTCCCGAGTAGCTGGGATTACAG